TGGATAAATGTGTGCTGTCAAGTATAAAGTTGTCAATCAAGATTGTCAACGAAGATTGTACATGTAACATGATTCATAATTTGGATACAAGACAGTCCAATCCACGACTGTCTAACACACTTACAAATTACAGTTTTTATTGATAAATAAACAAGTTTTGAAGACTCAATAAATCTCGCAACAACTCCCAAATTCAACAGTTTACTGTACATTAACCATATATAGAAATATACAAGTAATGAGGATAAGCCATGGTTTCAGTTCCACCACAGCTGCACATTACTGACCTCCCCACACCAATTTAAAAATATTACAACTGAGAAAAAAAATTCATTTTTTCTGCACTAAAACAAGGTCGGTGTAACGTTTGATATCTATACGAGGAAAAACACATGCTGCATGAATATTTGACCAATCAATCCATTTATACTTATCAAAATTTCCTACACACTGTACTATATTTTCTCCAAAAGTTATAACCAGCATTACCGTATGAGACTTGACCCCATGAAAACTTTACAAAAAGTTCAGTAACCATTTAAGGAATTAACCCTAATTTCATAAATATTACATCGTGGAGAATCTAAAATTCTTTATAAATCATACAAACGTATCAATATGACAACTTCGAATTCAGGCCAATTAATCGAAATAGATTCCACGCGTAAATATTTTAATATTTGTAGGCAGCCTTGACCGGAAAAATCTGAAAAAATAAAAATTTATGATACACGAGGAAGTTCGCAATTGGATTCCTTAGCCTTCTTCCATAATTCCATTGATTAGTAGTACCTGGAGGAGAAGGCAGAACCAATCAACCTAAGCTGAACGAATAAATTAATGAAAAAAATAGTCATATTTTCTATTGAGTTAACGTAATAAATATGTCCTTAACTTTTTACCCTATTGAAACGAGTCTAATGATATTTTTTAGTAAAGAAATCGAATCGAAAAATTCATTAATACAAGACATTTGTGTGTCATATTTTGTATGCAGATGAGTCATCAAGACGAGATTTTTTTGAGTTCATTATAAATTTGAATATAAGATGGTCCAGTCCACGGCTATCTAACAAACTTACTAATTACAGCTTTTATTGATAAGCCACTTTTTGATGGCCTTTATTTCAAAAAAAAAAAAAAATTATATTTTGAATAGTTTTTTTTGGAGAATATGTGGTTAAAATGTAAATAAAAATTTTCGATTTAAGTGTAAAATATTTTATTACGTGAATATGTGGTTGAAAATGAGTATGAGAAATAAATTATAAAACAAAGTAAATTAAATGGAATCAAACAAGGGCTAAATAAATAAGTTTTGAAGACTCGATAAATCTCTCAACAAATTCCTAAAATCGGACAGTTTACCGTGCATTAACCATATATAGAAAAACAAAAGTATTGAGACTAAGTCATTAGATCATCTACAATGGACTCTCTATTTTTAAAGAACATATTCTATCATTTGGAGGACATCTAAACGTTTAGAGAGTTAAAATTTTGAAATACTTCAATAAGTTTTTTTATATTTAATACTTAATTTTACTACTCCCAAAAATATTTATTATTTTTCTTTATCTTTTATTTTAACTAGAGTTTTTCTTTAAATTATTTTATTATTTTTTTACATTAAAAATTGAAACACTTTGAATGTATTTAATTATAGAGAGTTAGCACTCTCTAAATTAAAATTTTAATTTAAAAAGTTTCTAAGAGCATGATTTTAAAAGTTGATTCCTTAAAATAGAAAGTCTCTCGAAGTTACTCTCAATTCTTAAACTAGGATTGGATCTGCCAGAGAAGATGGCCCGGCATCAAAGGATAAGCCATGGTTTCAGTTCCACCACAACTGCACATCACTGACCTCACTACACCAATTTTAAAATATTACAACTGAGAAAAAAATCATTTTTTTTCTGCACTAGAACAAGGTCGGTGTAACGTTTGATATCTATATGAGGAAAACACATGCTACATGATTGACTAATCAATCCATGTATATTTATCAAAATTTCCTTCACCTTATAAACTTTTGCACTATTTTTTTCTCCAAAAATTATAACAAGCATTACGGTACGAGTCTTGAGCTTTTATCTTAAAAAATTAACATTTTTAGTGTAGTTTAAGCCCTTATACGCTCTGTAAACATCCTTGTTTTGAGATTTTCAAACTTTGATATAGAAGAGTATCCAAATCCTTATACGTTGGGATTTCAATGTGTAAGCCAATGTAATGTGTGTAGAGTCTGACAAACACGCAGAGACGACTCTTTGTTTATTGGCAACTCCTCTTTCTCCCCCCTTTCCCTCTGTGTGTGTAAAGAGACAGTAGTATTACTATTAAGAACCCACTTGAGATAAGTCAGTAGATTCGCTCTTTCTGAATTCCTATATAAACACAGCCCACCCTCTGCATTCTCTCATGCACTCAGCTTCTTATTTTACTCTAAAAAACACTTTCTTGTGTTCTTGTTCTTGGTCTTGTGCTAAACCTAGTACTGTGTCTCATTACAATATTAATTTCTTGATCTCCACCTCAAGAATTGCATTTCACTGTCATATTAATACAAAAAAAATGTCTAGCCGAAGATCAAGATCAAAGCAATCAGGATCTTCAAGAATCAGCGAAGATCAAATCAACGAGCTTGTCTCTAAGTTGCAGCAGCTTCTTCCGGCCGAGATACAAACTAATCGCTCAGACAAGGTACTTTTAATTCCTCATCTGTGTTGATCTATGATCTCTCTTCACCATGTTTGTCTGTACTTAAGATTATATTAAATTTACTTTTAAGTTAATTTCCAAAGTTACTTTTTTAACTAACAAAACTTTTCGAGAAAGTAAGTTCTAATTTACTTCCTAGAAACAAACATATCGTGTTAGTCTATACGCTTCAACTTTGTGTAGAATGAAAACCCCAAACCAGGATTAATACCATTAATTTTCATAATAAAGTGTCAATTTTCATGTGAAATATTATCGAATTTAAAATGAATGACTGATAACAATTGTGTAAATGTCTTGTACTACTCAATCTGATTTAAGTGGAGAAATTAATCATAGAGAACTGTCCCATTTATACAATGAATCAACTGAATATATACTTCTAACACTTAGGTGAAATATTCTATTCTTAATGACCCGCGGTACACCCCAAGATTGGAATTTTTTGGGTTCCAAAGATGACCTTGGAACTATACATATATGATGATATCAATAAAATGGCTAAATATATATTTTATTTTCATTGGCATAATATATAAGACATTAATATCTTCGTGCCGTTAGTGTAAATATAGTACGTAGTATTAAATCGTAAAAATAATACAATGAACAAGAATTTTGTTATTTTCTTTCTTATTAATGTGTTGTAACTCCACCTTTAGCAAACGTACCATCAAAGTTATCTCAAACGTATGTACGTATTTAAGAAAGTATAACATTAATTTCCCAACATACAGACGTCAGCAGCAAAAATCTTGCAGGAAACATGCAACTACGTTAGAAGCTTACATAGGGAGGTGGATGGCTTAAGTGAACGGCTGTCTGAATTGTTGGAAACCTCAGACACCACTCAAGCAGCATTACTCAGAAGTTTGCTAATGCAATAGATTTGCGCCTCTGTTTTTCCTTATTATATTCCTTCCCTTTTTTGCAATTGTCCTCTTGTTTCTAGGAATTCCCTCGCAAGACCTCTTTGAATAGTGTTTTTAAATGCTTTGTTTAGTTGAGAAATCAACTTGTTTTGAGCAGTTAAGAATTTTTCTCTATTGGCCACATCTTGTTTCATTCAGGAAGTTCAATAAATTTACTTTTAAAATTAATTTTTATGATAACAATACTTACTTTGCTTAAAAGTAAGTCTAAATTTACTCAGCCCTAACATGCTAATGTGTTAAAAATTTGGAGAACTTCATGTTGTTAATGTTGGAAAAATTAGTTCAAAATATACTATGATGTTTCATGAGATGAAAATTGGATAGAGTTTAGAATTATGGGAAATAGAATTTATTCGAGGAAAGAGTTTAACTATTTCTCCTTAAAATGAAATTGCGGGGCACATGTTTATGATATGCCAGCACAAGTCTCCCAAGTTATGGACAAAGCTCATTTCGGATGTGTTTATGAACTATTTAAATTATAAATAAATAATGAATAAATGAGTAGTAGTTGTGGGTTTTACAAAATGTGTTGACTGATCATAAATAGTTTATAAGCATTAGCCAAACATGGGCATATTCCAAATTAAGGCTTAACTGGAGCAACATTATAAATTTGGCGATTATCTATGCTAAATTAACTTTGGTGTCTAATGTTACACATTTTGAAAGTTAGATAACTAATGGAGTATTTAGCCTAGTTTTCTATCGTAGATTAATCTCAATATGATTTCACATGCAAGTTGTCTAGAACTATTTCAATTCAAATCTAGATCTATTGAATTTATTGTATCATTAAAATTAATTATTTTTAAACAATCGAAAGCATGTTTAAAATTTTTAAATTAAAAATTAAAATCGAACTACCACCTATTGGCTGTTGTTTCTCTTTTGGCCTTTGCGTTTCATTTACTACAAAATTGCATGTTCGACTGTACTATAAAATAAGGGAAAACTTTTTTTGGATAAAGTAAGTGTATTATATCCAAAATATGAAATGAAAGTACACGAGCACAGGGGTATACCCCAGAAAAACAAGGCTAGAAAAAAATGCTTCATAGCACAAACAAAAAACAGTACTAATAACCTAGTCACAACAATAAAAAAATATCCGCAGAAAGACCCCATGAGTGTTGGAACCATATATTCTCAGCAGATGGAACCAAGCCCCTACATAGATTAATACATGTACAAACAAAAAAAACAATGTCTCGAATAACAATATACTCATGTTTAGGAGCATTTCCATGGGTTCTAGAGTTACGTTACGCCAAATAACATAAATCGAAGCTGCAAACATCAATCGAATAACAATGGAGCGCACAGATCTTCCACGAAACTGCTTCATCCAAGAAAGAGTTTCTGCCCAACTCCGCCGAACCCAAGGCAAGTTACATTTAGCATGCATAGCATGCCAAACGCGCTCAGAAAATGGACAGATAAAAAAAGATGATCTAAATCCTTCACCGAACAACCACATAGCACACAATGCATAGACTGTAACAAACCAAATCGAAGAAGCTTTAACTGTGTATAAAGGCCGTCTTGGATAACTAGCCAAAGGATAAAAGCCTGATGGGTGATACATTTAGGGAACCATACAATATGATGCCAGGTCACCCTAGGGCAACGGAGTCGAAGAGGCTCCCAAGCACTCTGAACAGAGAATACTCCGTGCACATTTTCCACCCATCGCAAGATATCCTCTCTAGTACTATCCGGCCGAAAAGTATCAAGCGTACTTTGCATCAATTCAAACAACGCTGGGGAACAAGCTAATGGCCATCTCCAATCATCACCCTCAACAATATCTGGCACCTTAGCTTGTCTATTCAATCTAGAGCCATGAATGATCATCTCCCCAAAAATCTTCTCTAAAGGGCTAAGGGGATGCCAATTGTCAAGCCAAAGCGAAGCAAGTCTACTCAATAATATCTGCCACCTTAGCTTGTCTATTCAATCTACCGATTTACATTGGGAACTGAAGTGAAGGCAAAATTACTTGTCTCGCTCACATTTTTTTTTTTTTTAGAGAAAGCAAATCTTACTTTACTTTCTAAAAATAAATAAAACTATCAATTTTTTTTATTACGTAAAATGGCAGAAAAAGTGCTGACTATTATCAGCAAACGTTGACCACGTTACTCAAATTTTGACCCGTAATAAAGAAAGATTTAATATTATTTTATGTATTAAAGTTCGATAAATAGGCTGACAATAATATTGGCAATTGAGGTTTGAAATAGATGGTTATTTGGTACAAGCCCTTTACGGGACGGATTAGGATAAATTGGGTCATGATCGAAAAGTTTATATAATCATTCAATCGTTTTAATAGAAATAAAACAAAGAAATTAGGGAAAACATGAGGAACTATAAATTAATTCTAAAAAATAATTAAATACAAGTAATAATTTATGAATTTAAATTTATTTGTAGGTTAAATGGGCCATTAGATTTGAGGCCTAACAAAAAATAAGAATAATTACAACGTATTTTTGACATGACGGGTCTCTTTTATCACTATTTATGAATAATGTTATTTATGATTATGATGATTGAATATCAGTGATATGACAGTCTATATGAAATAATGAAATTGAGCAATTCAATTTTTATGAGAGAGAATAAGGAAATGGAGAGAAAACGAAATATGAGGGATAATAGGCTGTCACATAATCAATGTTCATCACGATAATAAATAGCATTATTCTTGTTTTATGTATCTTATTCAAATATTATGTAATCCTTCATGTTATAATGCTTTAAATTAAAATCAGGTTGATTTAAACCTACTTTTGTCTCATTAGAGAGCCTTTCACGTAAATGAACAACAAAATTTGTAATAGGAAAAAAAATTAAATAAAGGGTTGAGCCCCTCCACTTATAGAAGACTTTGATAAAATAAAGGGTTAGAATCAAAATGACAAAGAATGCAATTATTTTCTTATTTAAAGGGTTAGAATCAAAATGAAGTTGATTCTAACAGACTAAATAAGAAAATAAAGGGTTAGAATCAAAATGACAAAAGAATGCAATTTTTATCAAGATAAATGCGAGGCGGCCCTTGATGCTAAATCGTTACGAAATGTGCGCATGCACACGATCATCTTCTGGTAGGAGAAATTCAAACTTCATATGAAAAAAACGAAAACATAAAGAAATAACAAAGGTCGGATGATGATTTGTCATAAAATTCATTCATAGTACACATACACGAGTTGCTGAATAAATTTTGGCTTCTAAAACCAACCGTCGAGATAAGTGACTCAATTATTGACAACGACAATTTATCTCAACCTGTGGTTTCATAACTGTGACTTTACATTTCATGAAGTAGTACTGGTGTTTAGATGATGATATGTCAAACATTTCAACCCAAAAATCATACATATAAGAGAAGCTTAACAAAATTTGACTTACAAAATCAACTGTCTACGTAAGAGAGTCAACTATCGAGAACAATAGATTATCTCGACAAATAATTCCGTAACTATCGGAATTGACATTTACATTTCACATTCACGTTGATTTTTCTTGATGAATGTAAATACAAAGACATTATTGGCAATCCCATGAAATCAACAATTGAAATTCATGAAACAATTTAATATCCTCAATGCGTGAATTTGAGCAATGCTCCATTTAAATATTCAACATCAACGTCTAAATTTTTGAGCTGTTAAGAAGCTACAATTTTGGCATGCAAACTAATAAGGACCCCAACTTGGACTGCAACAAAATTCAAATTGTTAACATTAACATAAAATGATGGCAAAAAATAATCCCACTTCATACTCACGTAAAATAAACCTTCTGGCGAAAAATAAATCCACTTCACACATTGAAATGGTATTTTTACATTAACATAAAAATGTATTTTACATTACATTACACTTCACACCTACGAAATTGAAAAATAAAAAAAGTTAAATATCACACGGGGAGCGAAAAATGGATTGATGGACCCAAAAAATAGTTGGGCTTCACTTCGTATTTTTTAAACAATCTTCTACTCATGGTAAACACAAATAAATTATCGAAATAATCTTGAAAACCGATTCCGGAAACAAAATTTCTGAATTTTCTCAAACAACTAAAGAAAAGAAGAAAATGGTAAATAACATATTTTTTAAATCTGTCCAAATATCTATGAGAATCCTGAAATTTGAAAATGAATTCTTAAATATTGAATATATTTATTTATTTCTTATATTCTGCATTTTTCTAGTAACCAAACATTCCCAAAAAAATGCAAAAAGAACAAAAAAAAAAAAAATCGACAAAAAAGAAGATCATAGATGAAGGTATTATAGAGAGAACCAAAACCTAGAAAATTAAAATATGTAAAAACAATTGTGATAGATGATATACTTGACTTGATTATATTATTTGTTATGAGAGTTGTTTCAATTGTAAAATTATCTTTTATATCTTTATGGTTTCTAGAACCTTGTGAAAACTCGATTGTCATTAAGGTTAGATGCACCTTGTTGTAAGTCACTTAAGGATCGGTACTCTTTGTTTGTAAGTTACCATTTTTAGTGAATTTGGCCTTACTCGTGACGGAGTGCTTGGTAACGGGGACGTAAAACAATTTATGTATCGAACCCCATTAAATTGGCTTGTTATCTTTACTCACTGCACTTTACTTACACAGCCATTTACATCTTGATATATTTCCTTAATTACATATACTTGAATTAAGCTATCGTATTTGCACACTCTTCGTCTCACTACATTTTGCTTATTTGTAACTTGTATTATAAATAATTTTTGAGACTAAGTGTCGAAAAAGTTTCAAAAACCAATTCACTCCCCTCTTCATTAGTTATTCTTGGGTTATAAATTGGTATGAAAGCGAGGTGCTCTTCTTTAAAAAGATTTCACAATCTTGAGTAATGACTAACCATATTTCTCAAGGTCTTGAGGGGCGTTCTATAAACCGTCCTCCTTTATTTGATGGTACAAACTATAACTATTGGAAAACTAGAATGTCAATTTATGTTCAATCAATTGACTATAGTATTTGGGAAGTTATTGAACTCGGTCCTCATAAACTTACCAAGGTAATTAAGGTTGATGGGGAACCGGATCAAATTATTTCAAAACCTAGGGAAGAGTATGATGAGGATGATAGAAGAAAATTGTCCTTGAATGCTAAAGCCAAAAATCTTCTTTATTGTGCTTTAAATATAAATGAATTCAATCATATTAGCACTTGTAATTCCGCATATGATATTTGACATGTATTAGAAATCACACACATGAGCACAAACAAAGTGAAAGAAACTAAGATAAATCTCTTGTTTAAAGAGTTTGAGAATTTCTTCATGAAATAAGATGAATCTATTGCTAGCATGATTACTCGTTTCACTGATATTGTTAATGGCTTCAAAAGCTTTGATCGAAAATTCACTAATGGTGAACTTGTTAGCAAAATGCTTAGGTCTCTTTCCAAAGTATGGAGCCCCATAAGAATATTGATAGAAAACATCAAGGATGTAAGTGCATATCCTTTAGAAGAGTTTTATGGAACCTTGATGACTTATGAACTCAACAACGCCGAAATCAAGGAAAAGACAAGGAAAAGTAAGGAGAAATCAAAAGAGCCAACAAATCGCCAAATTGCCTTAAAATTGGCAATTGAGGAAGAATCAACAAGCAACAACGTGAGTGATGAAGAATTTGGTGATCTTGATCTCCTTGTCAAAAAATGGAGATGCTTTCATAACAACCGACGTTTCCAAAAGAAAGAAGACAAAGGTGAAAAAAAGAGTAAGAAAATTGTGTGCTATGATTGTGACAAACCCGTCACAAGAGAATCGAATGTCCCAACAAGAGAAGATTCCCCAAAAAGAAAGCTCTACAAGCCACTTGGGACGAAAGTGAAGATGAGGAAGAGGAAAACAAGAGTCAAGATGAAGTTGCAAACATGTGCTTCAAGTCCAAGGAGGATGAGGTAAACACAAATGCCCCTCCTTCTTATGATGAATTATCTACATCATATGATGTATGTGCTTCATGGCCATTGAAGATGGGGTAAATACAAATGACACTCCTACTTATGATGAACTATCAACTTCGTATGATGAAATTATTGAAGCTTTTGAAAAACTCGTACTCAAACATTTTACTCTAAAAAAATAACATATTTTATTGAAAATTGAGTCTAAAAAGATTTTGGAAACTCAAAAGAATTTTGAGAAAGAAAAGGTTGATCTTGATTCCCTAATTAAAGAAAATATTCTAGATTTAACAAAAATTGTGCATAAATTTATTCAAGGAAAGAAAAACTTTGAATTAATACTTGGAAAACAAAAATGTGTTTTTGACAAGGGAGGGATTGGATACAAACCTTTCCTAAAGCAAAAATCTCTTGAAAATATCTTTGTTAAAACTTCCAACCTCACATGTAGTTTTTGCAAGAACATGTAGCATTTAATTGCTTGACCAAAAAGAGACTACACTTTCAAGGAAATAAGTGGGTTCAAGGATCCACTAGCACTAACTATCAAGGATCCAAAGTTAAATGGGTACCAAAATCAAAAGTTTAAATCAATTATTGCAGGTGCCTTCAAAAGCAAAGAGCAATTGGTTCTTGGATAGTGGTTGCTCCAAGCACATGACCGGAGACAAAACACTATTGTCAAACTTCAAAAGAGAAGATGGAGGTCATGTTACATTTGGTGATAATGTCAAAGGAAAAATCATGGAGATCGGAAATATCGGTAATCATTCATCTCCTTCTATTGACAATGTTTTTTTAGTAGATAATCTCAAACATGATTTGCCAAATATTAGTCAACTATGTGATAAAGGTTATCATATCAAATTTGATTCTTCTAAATGCCTTA